AACTTGGAAAAAGCAAACTTTAAAAAGGCAGGGGAAATACTCGCTGAAGTTTGGGGTCAGGCTGTCATTGATGGCTATAATGTGCATGCACAGTATGTTGAACCAAGCAGCACAAGCACAAATCTTCCGTCTCCCTCTGTGAATTGGTGTTGGAATCATGTGCAACAGTCTCAATATTTTCTGCAGATCATCAAATGTAATGATGTAACATGCTGCGGAGCAAGACGAACCAACTGTAATGAACTATTTCCCAAACGCTTCATTCCAGCTCCGGTACCTTTTATTAGTCATGAAGCAGGCGTCATGGCTGCAGCTATTGGTAGTAGTAGTGGTACTTATGGATCACTGTTCCAGAGGCTTGCACTGATTGGTCTGGAGCCCGATCACAGTTACAGTAGCATGCCTTTTGATCTCTATTGTCCATCGGTGACTGGGAGAATTTCCAAGAGAATATGTTTCTGCGGTAAATATTTCCCATCACAGGCGGCAATGAAAAAACATAAGGTCGTCCATTGCAATATTCCTGCTAGTGAACATAATATGGCAGACGATTCAGAGGAAGAGACTGCCACTCAAATTGAATTAGCAATTGAAGACTCAAGAACAGATGTTGTCATTATACGAAACATGTTTGAATGGCTGCAGTCCGAATTTTCCGTTGATTGAAGAATGGTGGATTATTTGTTTATCACATTTTTTAATACAGTGATTCAATAAAATGTTTTTGAACAGTTATTATTTCATTTAGAATTTTGCCTGCAAATAATACGAATTTCTAAAAAAAATCTTTGTAAAAACATACTCTTTATATATATATTAATTTCTTATTTTTATCATTATCGAAAATACCTTGTTTCCTGTTCAGAGCCGAAAATGGGACGACAGACAATCAAGACAACTTAGATGAGTCATTCAGCAAGAATAACGAGCATGAAACAGGTCAATGCAATACCCTTAAAGTTGACAAAAATAGACCAGCCGAGCGGATAGCTCAAGAGGAGTTAAATTTGACAAATTCAAAACTATCTAGTTTGCTAGCAATTCGTCAAACTGGTTTGTGGACAGATGAAATGAAAAAGAACGCAAATGAACTTGAAGAAAAAAAGAAAAAACTGAAACAGAAGCATCGCCTTTCATTTGACCGAAAACGAAAACGTTCAGCCCGAGCAGACATGAAAGAAGCTTTGCAAATACTTGTTACAGAAAATCCCACCGCTGCAAAAAGGCTCAAAAAGTTCACTAGGAAAAAGCTTGGTCGGCCTAGCTTTGAAACTTATCAATCTGACTTGCTGAAGTCAATTGTCGACATTGTGTCTGCAAGTGGAGCTGCTGATGACCGCCGACACACCGAATTGATCCGTTCATGTAAAACACTTGATGATCTACATTCAGAGCTGTTAAGTCTTGGGTTCAACCTAAGCCGATCTGCAACTTATCTTCCTCTTCTACCACGCAACTACATGACTGCTGAAGGTAAGCGGCACATAACTACCGTTCCGGTGAAACTTATATAAAAGCTGCCAACAACTTGCGCAAAGAGCACATAGATGCCCATTTTGCAGCATCAGCAATAGCTTATTTGAAAGATTTGGCAGTATTGATGGGCAGTCAGTGCACATTCTTTCTTAGCCAAGACGACAAGGCTAGAGTTCCTTTGGGCCTTCCAGCTGCATCAAAGCAGGCACCACTTCTAATGCATCTGGAATATCGTATACAATTGCCTGACCATCATTGGGTTGTGGGAGATAAGCATAAACTAATACCTTCAGTTTATGCCGCATGTATTATCAAGGAAGGTTGTGTGACCTATTCCGGACCAACATCCATATCAATAAGGAGTGGTAAACATGATTCCAGTTCTGCTGCATCACATGTTGCAGATTTTGATGTACTTGTCTCTCTTGATATTTTCAAGAATGTGGCATGTACAAATGGTGGACTAGTAAAGCCTATAGTAATTATTACCGTTGACGGAGGCCCAGACGAGAACCCACGTTATCCAAAAACATTGAATGCTGCGTATAAATTGTTTACCAAGCACAATCTTGATGCTTTCTTTATAGCGTGTCATGCTCCGGGTCACAGTGCCTACAATGCGGTAGAACGACGAATGGCCCCTTTGTCTCATGACCTGTCAGGCCTCATTCTTCCCCATGATCATTTTGGATCCCACTTGGACGCAAATGGTAAAACTATAGACCAAAACTTGGAAAAAGCAAACTTTAAAAAGGCAGGGGAAATACTCGCTGAAGTTTGGGGTCAGGCTGTCATTGATGGCTATAATGTGCATGCACAGTATGTTGAACCAAGCAGCACAAGCACAAATCTTCC